TGCCTCAAACGGTTTTCTTCAGCAGCTACATTAAATATTCTTTTGACATATTCCAGTTACACTTTTTTTTCCCTCTCATCCATTTAACAGTTTAATGTTTGGTATTTTTGGATACTGAGTACAATCTGATATTATCTCTACTTAAATGTGTTTATTAAATATCTGACACACTGAAATAGAAGCTGTACACAACATAAGATCCTTGTAATATTCCCATCACCGTTCCTAACTGGGTGTGGCGCAGTGGATAGAGCCTTGGTATGGGGATCAGGTTCAAACCCCACTGCAGTCAGCATGTCGTTGTGTCCCTGAGACACTTCACCCCAAATTGCTCCTGTGGGGATTGCCCACAGTATTGAGTATGTAAGTCGCTTTGGATAAAAGCGTCTAACAAGTAACATGTAATGTAATGCAACTAAATATCTGACACACTGAAATAGAAGCTGTACACAACATAAGATCCTTGTAATATTCCCATCATCGTTCCTAACTGGATACATGTTGGTAGCAGTCTTGTGGTGATGTATAGTTTGGGGACGATTTGGAAAACACTAATATATGAATCTGATGAGAGAACTGGGGACAGATAGTGAATGTATTCACATCAAGCCCTCAGTGAGTGTGCCAGGCATTGAAGCTCATTTTCATAGTGGCCAAACGGTGGTAATACAACTTCCATGTTAGTCAAGTGACACCATTGGGCCCCAAAATGCATTTTTTGCTATTGACGTACAAAGGGCAGAAGTCACACGTCTTCACAGTCTGAACACTTGAATAGCCCCTATTTAAATCATTAGGTCCTCAAAGTTTTACAATTTTCTAAAAGCTGAGTCCAGAGTTCATTTCTCTGAGCCGAGAGACATCCTCGTGGATTCATCTTCTTATTATAGACACATGCATTTCCTAACATTTGGTCTACCTACCTACGCTGTAAAACGTATTATCTCTTCGATTTACACACAGCATCTATTGCACGTCTGTCCGTCCTGGGAGAGGGATCCCTCCTCTGCTGCTCTCCCTGAGGTTTCTCCCATTTTTTCCCTTTAAACTGTGGGTTTTTCTCCGGAAGTTTTTCCTTGTACAATGTGAGGGTCTAAGGACAGAGGGTGTCGTTTTTTCTCATACTGATATTCTGAACAAACTGCTGTTGTATTAGCTGTAAAATGTCTTTACTGTAGGGTATTTTTATTAATTGTACAGCACTTTGGCTCGACCAAAAATCGTTTATAAATGTGCTATATAAATAAAACTTGATTTGACCCATTCTCTATGGACCAAGTAGAGGCGGAAGATCACTGAAAGATCCATCCCTGTACTGTTGTACTGAAGGTCTACTTTAATAGGAATGGACAAGGCCCAGCCTTGCAGGAGCTTTAAACCCCGTATCTCACAGAGCTCTCAGTGCAGAGCGGCATATTTCCATCAGCTCCATGCATGACAGAGCAGAGAGCCGCTCGCTGGCAGGAAGCTCATCGATTGTGTTTGCCTCACGTAGCGTGCAGGACAGTGCACAGGGATTGTGGGGGGGGTTATCTGACAGCGGACTGGGAGTTGCAGAGGTATAGAGTGATGTGGAAGAGAGAAAGGGATGGAAAGATCCCTCTGTGGTGATAAGGAAGAGCAGCTGGCTGGGCTGTGATCTGGTCTGAGAGCCACTTCCTGTCCCACACCAGGGACCAGTTCCATTTACCCTCAGCCTCTCCATAGACACTATGCATTACATTAATGCATACTATGCAAACTATCTTGTTTTCTATTTATTTTATTGAAGATACCTCTCTTAATATCTGCACAGCTTTCCACTTTTCATAACATTACTGCACATATTTTATTGTATTATTCTGAGCATTTTGTCATAGGATACTGTATGTCATTTTTTGGTATATCTGTCTTTCATGTAAATAATATTCTATATCTTAATGATATATTTTACATTTTTTATGTATGCACCATATACACCGGCAAATTCCTCATTTGTGTTAACCTACTAGGCAATAAACCTCAGTGTTTCCTAGGGATGGGTACCGAGCCCCGGTATTAAACGGGTCCCGGGGCTGAATTATTAAAGACCGTGGTACCGTTAAGCTCCGACGTTATCGGTCTTTTTATCGGTACTGGAGACATGTAAAAAATATGTCATGTGTATTATTGCTACACAAACATTATATTGCAGTTTTAGTGTCGCCAACTCCGTTTCTAATACGCAAAAAGACTGCAAAATGCGTCATTTTTTGGTATTTTCGATCTCTCCAATCCAGGCGAGAGATCTCTCTCCCCCGTCTGTGTGCGAGGGGGCGGGGCAGTTTACACACACGCAGCTGCTACATGCAGCAACACACACACACGGAGGAGTGGTTAAACTTTACCCGTCTCGCTCGTTGCCGAAAGTGCAATAAGAGTTTAGCATGTCAGGGCGGTAACACGAGCAATTTGTCTAAACATCTTGCAAAAGTGCACCACGTTCAGACGGAGAAATCTGTTCGACCGACTTTCTAGTAGCTCTCAGCTCTGTAGCCCCATCCACGAGTAACGTTTCCACGTCAGGTATATTATGTATGCTAGCAGCAACACACGGAGCTAACTCAATGATTCAAACATGGGTTAATGATTAGAGGGAACTGAGTTATTTAGTTTGTTAAAGTTTCAGCCATTCTGTTCACAGTTCTGTCATCAGATTATTTAATACGATTTGTTAAAACGTTGTTGTTTCTTTTGATGTGAAATATTATGTATTTAATTTAAATAAAAAGCAATGTTCGATTTGTTCACAATTTGTTTATTTTCATTTAATTGTTTATTTGAATAGGGACAATGCACATTAATGAACACTTTAGACAAATAATGCTTCAAGTGTAAATATGCCGGATTTTAGCTTTGAGCTAATTTCCATCCGTAGTCCCTGACATACAACATTTAGTTAGTTTACCTCATTTTTCTCTCCAAAAGAACCGATAAAAGTACCGTTAAAAGACCGGACCGATAAGCGGTATCGATAAAAGTAGTAGTACCGTTAAAACCTTAACGATACCCATCCCTAGGATGGAGTCATAGCAGCGGTGCTAAGGCACGCGGGCCCAGCAAAATGTGAGCGCGGAGCGCGTAGAATTTTTTAGTACGTGCGAAGTAGGGATGGGAACGATTAATCGAATATTCGAATATTCGAAATTATTCAGGTATTCGAATACGAGTTATGAATATTTTTATTAATTTTATTTTTATTTTTTTTATTTTTTGGGAGGGATGCCTAAGTTGATTACATATTATCAAATTGAATAATTCAATGTATACGACAGTGCCATAGCTAAATGTGTTAGGTGACGTCTAAAGGTGTGTTTTGCTCCGCTCACCGGTCCCTCACAGCGGGCAGAGCTGCAGGTGCTGATCTCTCTCTCTCGCGTCCGGTACTTCACTCGCGTTTATGTCCAAATCCATCAGATCTAGCTAGTTCTAGCTAATGATATGGCTGCTGCCCCTGCCTACACGCAAATCACGCAGACTCAAACCTCATCTTATGCCCAAATGCAGCGCAAATGCGCTCCGCAGCCGTTGCGAGGTTCCGGCGCTAACAGTTCATGAGCGTGCTCCCCCGCCCCCTGTCAACACTCGCGACACATGAGTGGCCAGCCTAAACAACAATAAGCACTGCTTGGCAACCGTGTGTGGCGGCAAAGTACATAGACATTTTGACAGGAGAGATTTAGTTTTGCCGGTATTCAACATATTTTACCAGTCATAGTCCGGTAATTATTTACACTCTAAGAAGAGTCCTACACAACAGACATGGCGTCAAAAAGGAGTAATGTGTGGAAATATTTCGACCAGGTTAGTGAGTGTGGTGTAGAGTACAAACTATGCCAAATTAAACTTATATATATACACATACTATACCTTGCTATACCCGCAACCTCCGTTCCAGCTGAGAGGGTCTTCTCTACAGCTGGCCTGATTGTGAATCGCCTCGGCACATGAAAGCTGTAGGCCTATAGCTGTCAAACTGTGATCACCAGTTCAATACATTTGACAAATTCGACTTGGTTTCTATACTTATTTGAACATGTATTTATTTATTTCCAAAAGTCATTGAAAAAAATGTTTGCGAAAAAAAATGTTAGAATCTTTTTTTTTACCCAATTTTTTTTATATAGGATATGTACATTTCGGTTAACCGTTTTTTGGGGGGTCGAATATTCGAATATACATTTGCTTTCAAATTCCCATCCCTAGTGCGAAGTGCGCCCCGCCAATATGTTTCTATGTGTCTGCCAGCAAAAGAAAGGCTCTTGAGGCCTAGTACATACTGTGGCAATGTTTCAAGATTTAGCAAAATACACCTTTATTGAACATACAGTAAAATAAATACAAATACTTTTACTTTTTTTATACCTGGCAGCGGCGCCGCTATTTGTATGGGGAAACACTGAACCTGATTTCTGATTTGTTTGTAGGTGTAGCCTCAACTTTCCACACATACCTTTTACTTTTCAATTATAAAATGAAATGACTTTTCTGTTTAACTTCACTTGTATGATAGATTTTAGCAGAGTCCACTAAACTTCCTCTTCCTCACCTCCTCTGTAAAAGCCTGTTATTTCTCTGTGTGTGTGTGTGTATGCCCCCCTCACCTCTCTTCACCTTAAAACACAATTTTTCCCAACTTGTGTTCATCCCAGCTGCAATTTACTTCAAAGCGTCGCTGTCGCTGCAGGGGCATAGAAATACTAATTGAAGGTTCACAAAAAACACGTTTTTCTGTCACTTTGTGCGCACATAATGACTATGTGCAGCTCCAAATCTGCTGTGTATTTGTTTCTCAATACACACATACCATAGTAGCATAGATGCTGTGTGTTATCTTTTGACCAAAGCCTTTTATGCTGTTACAAGCCTTTACTCTATGTTAAAGATAGTCATTTCAGGCAATTTTGTGTATGTGTGTTTGTACCATTTATTCATACTGTGTGATTATTGCGTCAATATTAATTGTGTGTGTTTTTCTTCAGCAGCGGAACCTGGAGGGCTATGTGGGCTTTGCAAATCTCCCCAACCAGGTGTACCGGAAGTCAGTCAAAAGAGGGTTTGAGTTTACGTTAATGGTTGTAGGTAAGTTGGAACATCTGACTCATGTCTGAGATGTGTGTGTTTGCATGTGTTTCTGCCAACCTGTGTATGCGCACCTGCCCATCTATCTCCTCCTGTCTGAGTGTGTTTTCATTTTTATGTGGATGTGGGTCATCAGCGCAGGTTGAAAGGAGGTAAAGAATGCGTGGCATGCAGCGAGTCACTCAAGTTGATGAGTTGACAATTTAAAAAGCAGTTTGTGCAGAGTGGTGGTGCCCTGTGTGCATGTGAACACAATTCATATGAAAGCTGGATTCCTACACTTCCCCAGGGGAGTTGCCTCTGCTGCTCCGGGATATGGAATATCACATCTGTGTGCTGTGGGTGATTTGATTTGGAACGGGGCCGCAGGGTCATGGCTGAAGGAACCTTAAATATGGCAGTACAGTGGGAAGGAAGTGGACTCAGAGTGCAGGAACATACACTACCGCATATAGGTAGTGTTTTAGGGAGCCAAAATCACATTTCTAAATGTTTTTATGAAAAAATAAGGGGTTATTTCATCTAGTTGTCACAAGAACATTTTATTTCTTCACAAGAAAAAGAAGGATGACTTCTTTCATTTAAATGTCTTGATATGCTGCAATAGAAAAAAATTGAAATGGTTTCAAACTGACTAAACTTTGACATAAACCAGTCTGTGACAATCCATCAAGATATGTTGTAAACTCAACTTCAGTCAGATAATTCAAATGTGTTTGCCTATTTTACTCGGAAATTAGGTTTAATAAGAGGTTATATCCAAGATTTAGGTGATGATTTATGGGATTTACTTTACAAACAGTTCAAACGACAGAGGGCAAAAGTTGCACAGTTGACTGAATGGCACCACAAAGGTTAAGAATGTATTGCTGCAGCCTTTCTGAGAAATGAAAGCATGCATTTAGGGTTTATATCTGAAGTCATTGTAACCATGAAGCCTCTGCTGTCTTGTCAGCGCTCAGCCCTCCGTCCAGCTGTTATAGCAGACCTGTCTGAACTCGCTGTGGCCCCCGACTCACCCAGAGACCCTCCTCTTTTGTCCAGTTGTTACATTTAAGGTCAGGGGCTAATAGGAAGTTGTTGTGTTGTAGGCCAACCTAGGAGTTTTTTATTAGATTTTGGAATATCGCAGAAAATAAGACCACCACACGTTTAGGATACTGACATGTTTTGTTCAACACAAAACACAAGCACAGCAAAGGGTTAGCTCCAAACAAACTACATGACGGCTGCATGATTTCACATCACCACCGCTAAGCTAAAGGTGGCTAATGTTCGGAGTGACAAAGTTTAGTAGTACCATTAGGTCGGATGCTCACAACCGCCGTTTTTAAGAATCTCGAAAGCTTCGGACATTCACCAGTGGGGTATTTATGACGGAAAACAAGAATGAAAAGCAACCACTGTCTGTTGGAATATGAAATCACCACAATCAGTAGGTAATAGTACAGCAAAGTAAAGAGATTTAATAAAAAAGCCTGGAAAACAGTTCATTTAGTTATTGTTTTCCTGGCACAAAAGTGTAATAAATAACAACAAAAAAACACAGTAACATGTCATATCGCCATCGGCAAAATTGTTACTTTAAACGTCATTTATTTTCATTTCATTTAATCGTTTATTTGAAGAGGGACAGTGCATATTGATGAACATTTAAAATAAATAATGCTTTAAAATGTAAACGTGCCGGATTTTAGCTTTGAGCTAATTTCCATCCGTAGTCCCTGACATACAACATATAAGAACATGACATTTATATACATAGCAAAAATAAATACATGATATGCAGAAAGAGCATGAGCAGCATATACAAGCATTAAACACATGGCAGTACAATATAGCAGCTACGACATATAAAGTGCAGGAGAAGATAAAAGGGCTACATAAAGTGCAAGAGGAGATACCCCTGTGTTAAAGGGCATTTAGCGGTGATTACACGTCTGTTTGTTGCTCAACCATTCTTTTAGTTGACCTTTTAAAACTGTTCAAAGTGGGACAATCCCGTATCTCAGTTGGGAGGCTATTCCACAATGAGCTGCCCTTAATTGATAGAACATTTTGTCTGAAAGTGGTCCGTCTGCGGTGGACTTCACAGTCTCCTCTGGTTTCAGCGTCCAGTGTGTTTTTTGTGGATGAATTCCCCTAAGGGAGGGGGGGCCAGTCCATGTAAACATTTATAAAAAAAAACACATACTTTTAAAAGACTTAAAATGGTCAAAACTCAAGAAATTGTGTTTATCAAGGATGGTGCAGTGGTGATATGAATAAGGCTTTCTGTCAAACACCTTGATAGCTCTCTTGTACAGCTGTTCTATAGGTTTCAAGTTTGTGGCACAAGCAAACAACCAGTTTGTAAAACAGTATTCAATGTGGGATAGAATCAGACAGTGGAGGTATGACTTTGCAGCATTGACAGTTAAGAAAGGTCTAATTTGTTTAAAATGTTGCAAGTTGAATTTAATGGTATTGGATACTTTCTTAATATGTTTCTTAAAAGTCAAGTTCGAGTCCAGTATGACTCCAAGATACTTGAAGTGGGGGACTAGTTCTATTTCTGCTCCGTTTAAAAGCACATTGGATCCTTCGATTTTGACTGGTCGTTTACTGAACATCATGCATACTGTTTTTTTTTGCATTTAACTGTAAGCAAATGTTGTTCAGCCAGTGTTGAACTTTGTCCAAAGCATTTGAGAGACAGGATGAGATCATTTAAGTGTTTTTCCCATGTACAAAGATGACCGCATCATCGGCATACATTTGCACATTCAACTCAGGGCATACATTAGGCAAGTCATTAATGTACAGAGAAAACAGTAATGGTCCAAGAATGGAACCTTGTGGAACCCCAAACAGGGTTCACAAGGTAGGGGGATTTGTTTTCTGTTTGATAAGTAAGATTTAAACCTATGTATTGAATCTGCCGAAAAATTTAAATAAGTCAGCTTTGTAAGAAGCACTTGGTGGTCAACAGTGTCAAAAGCCTTCCTGAGATCAAGGAAGACAGCACCTACATATGGGCTCGTGTCCAACATACATTTAACCTTTTCCACAAAGACACAGTTAGCTGTCTCAGTGGAGTGGTGAGCACGAAAACCAAACTGCATTGGGTGGAGTGGAGCGAAACCTTTATCTAAATGTTTGGTGATTAGTTTTGACACCCATTTCTCAGTTATCTTATGGCGCTTTTCCACTGCAGGGCCTCGCTCGGCTTGGCTAGGCCTCGTTAGGCCTTGTTAAGCCAGGTTAACTTTATGCTGCGTTTCCATTACAGTTTAGTAGCTGGGGTAGTAACTATAGTAACGCAGTGTAGGCGGAGCCGTGACGTCATCTTCAATGCGAAACACAAAACCAACATCAGCCGTTTTTCGCCTGCCGTCTTGTCTTATCTTGACTTTTCAAAGCATTAATTCATGGTTTTTACTAACCGGTATCAGTATGTTGTTACTTCGGCATCATTTTAAACGTTTATTACAATTAAATCACGGTAAAATATGTTCATTTTGTTGTAGTTGCCAGCGATTCTCTCACTAGTTTAGTTTATTTTCGATGGAAATGACGCCGGAACCCGGACACGGGTGGATATCTCCCGAGAGCAAGAGACACAGCAGAGCCAATAGCCCAATATTCTCCTCTTTTCGTTTTAGACCCTTTTTTTTGTTTGAGAGAGTCTGCCAGGAGTGCCAGATGAGTGAACTGTAGATAATATGCCGACCATGGCCGAAGTGCTTGTTATTCAACGATGTTGCTGGTGCAGATAATGATGTATCCTCAACATGTTGTTGAGGATAAATCAGCCAAGACATCAGTATTGGCTGAAAAATGTGACATCGGATCATACCTTGTTGATGTTGTAGGAAGAAAATGTGAAAATCTCTTCAGCTTCGATTAACCACACTTTATTTGGGAATCTAAGGAAAACAACGTGCTAAAATGCTAACATATAGGACCACTCTCCTAGTTTCTTAACAAGGTTACTAATTTATGTTAGAAACGGGAAGTTATAGATTCACTTCAGCTCTCTATGGCATATTGAACATTGCACAGTGTGAATTGGGCCTGTAATGAGTAATGCACAAACATTTGGATTGTGTAAAGAATGTGTGCACATCCTCTTTCTGCTGATAAACACTTGACAAAAATGATTTTGTAATTTCGTTGATTATGCTTTTTTTTTGACGGGTTTATGGTGGTCTTAAACATTTTTCCAGCTAACATTAAATAATTGTATAAGCTGGTAAATCTAAGTGGATGTATCTTGTGGTGACCCTGATGGGTTCAGTGGAAGGAGAAAGAGATGAACTCTTTGAGTCGTCCAACCTTTATTATTCCAGCCTGGGTTTCAGCTTCCTGTTTAGCAAACTGCCGTTGTGAAAGAGCAGCAGCAGGGACACAGAGCCAGCAGAGTGACGGCCGGGGTGAGAACCAGAGACAGAGCCACAAGCATTTGATGCTGTTTCAGTCTCACATACGGGCCCCTCTGTCTCTCTGCCCAGTTCTCTTGGCTCCGAGCCCTGCATACCCCAGCTGATCCTAATTACACTCATAACAAATGTGAGGAGCATAGCAGTGAGTCCTCTCTACACAGAGGACATTTAACCTGTTAAGCCCGAGAGACCCCGGTACCGGGGTACTGCCGCAACATCTTGCAGGAAACAGTGTCTGAGGGCATGTTCATTTAATAAAACTATGAATGTTTTATATCCATGTAACGGGAAGAAACTCATCTAACTGATCATTTTTTATTTTTTTTCAAAAGAAAACCCACAATGCTAACACTGAGCCTCTGAATTAGCAACGAGCGAAAAATGCTAACACCTTACTGCACCGAAAATCACTCACAAAACCTTATTATTTATCTTTTCACCACATCCAACACATCGATTCACATCGTGAGGTGACACAGAATCTATTGACACCGACATTACCACTGAATTATACGTATTTGCGTATAATTGGTCTTCAATGGCATTAAAACGATAAAAACGCTGCTGAATATAATC